TGTTCAATATTTTTATTGTAGAATCCTTTAATATAACTTGAGGCTTGAATATTTTCTTCAGTTATTTGGGCTTGAGAAGTGCTAAGCGTGTTCTTTCTAATTCTAGGTCTTTGCACATGATCTTTATGAGACTTTACTAGGTCTTCTTGAGCTGCCTTTTGAAATCTTCTGTTACTTCATCATTTCTTCCATTCGCGTTCAAGAATAAATTTCAGAATCTTTTGACATTCATCTCGGCCTTCATTTTTCTTTTTTGTCTTTTTAATGTTCTTTTGCTCCTTTCATACATAATGCCCATCTGTCCATAATGTCATCCCGTAGCTTCTGTGGTCTTCAGCCAGTAGTGTTCACTGTGCCAAATCTGTTCCTGAACTGGTCTTTAACTCTGGGTGGGTTATAGTCGTTTGTTCTTTGTCTCTTGTGGACTTCTTTTCATTGTCTTCAGCTGCAACTTGAACTTGCATATGAGAAATTGATGGTCTGTTCCACAGTTGGCCCTTGGCCTTGCTTTGACTGATGGATAGCTTCCCTGTCATCCCTTCCCACAAATACACTCCTGTGTATCCCATCCATCAAGGTACACGTACATAGTTGCCATTTCTGTCAGTGAAGGTTTTTGCAATGAGTAAGTCCTTGATCTTGCAAACTTTTACCATGGGATATTCTGCATTGTTTCTTTCTCCAAGGCCATGTTTCCAACTATCGATCCTTCTTTGTTTCCAACTTGTGCACGGTATCTTGATTGCATGTTTGATTGATTTCAGACTACAGAGGTTGCTTAAATCTCTGATTTCTTCGTCTTTGGCACGTGTCTTGTAGGTGAATTGAGTACTAGCTGCGTTAACTGGCTGTGCTGTAGGCCTCGGAAGATCAGCCTACACTGATCACTGACAGTCTGGTAGTTCAGCATACGTCTTGAAATGTTCTTTTCAGCAATAATCTTACTACCCAGAAATAAGCATGACTTTTATATATTTCCCATATATGTTTTACCAAAATATAGTGCCAAGATATCAAAGTATTTTGTGTCAAAATGTGATACTTTAAGTTTTTGGGGTTTTTTTACTTTAAGTTTTTATATCTGTAGTATCTATTGTCTATAGTTGTGGAGTAAATATGGTGCAAATACAGTAGAAAATAAAGAGTTGATGAGTGTTATGTAATCTTTGGGTGAGGGAGGATAAAGGCCCCCAAGGGAAAAAGAGCTGACTATATAAAAACCAAACACTTGTTTGTGGAAACCCATACAAAAGAAAGTTAAAAGCCAACTGAAACAGTATTTGCAACATATATGCCACACGGTTAATGTGTAGCATCTTTTTCACTTAGAAAAAGATGACTATCCAGATAAAGTCAACTAAGGCCTGAACTGGGAAGTCACTAGACAAATGGCTACTAAGCCCTTGAAACAATGTTTACCTTATAAAGACTTAAGCCATACCAAGGATCCTGGGATAGTTGTTAGAGCCTCAAATGGGCTTCAGCTCAGGCCTGTCATTTCCTAGCTTTGGGACTTTGAGCAAGTGATGTGACCTTTAAACCTCAGTTTTTCACATCTGGGAAATACAAGTAATGGGAGCGCATGGTGTTCTGGTGAGATTTCCATGTGATTGAAGCGAAGAGTAGCTCTGCATCCCACTCGGCTCCAGACTAGACTTCAGGCCGGACACTCAGCTATCAGAGGCAAAGCCTGTTCCCGACTCTGCCAGGAAACCCCCTCCGGCTCCTCTGTGGAACCCAAACGATTGAGCATGGCATGATTGAGGGGGTCTGCTGAGAGGCCTCCATTCTGAGGGTGACCTGCACCAGAATCCCTAGTAGAAACAGCTGGAGACAAGTGTGGCCCAGGGGAGTGGATGGACGAGAAACGGGCTTTGGGAGATCAGATCCAGGTGGCACCTTGAGCTGGTTGGGCTTGTTACTCAGCCATCATTGGTTGGGCCAGCTCGCTGTGTTTAGTCTTACTGAGGAACCCACCTTACAACCATGTACCTCTCTGTAAAGGGGGAAGTGCTATAGTCATTTTTAAGCAAAGCTTTATTACTGATGTGGAGGAGATTAGGCTGGGACCCTCCTTTGGGTTCTTTCATTCTTTCTGTGGAAGATGAATCAATGTGAACCCTTCTTTCGATCAGTGTTTAGCTGACCTCCTAGAGTATGCCAGTACTATGTGTGCTCTCAGGCAGGTAGGTCTTCTTTAGTAGAAGAGACAGCCAATGATCAAGGAATCTCGCAAATAGATGTAAAACTCAGCCCAACGAAGTACCCTGAACACAGAGGGTCTAGTGTTGTGTGACTGGGGACAAAATGGTCTAAAGATGTGCAGAAGACCTGAGAGCAGGGAGTGTTTGGTCTGGAAACACATACAGTTCAACCCACATACTAAGCACATAGGTCTGGAATTTGGAACTGGGGAGAGGAAGACACATTAGATGCCATTTGGGGGCAGACAGTACTTTAAAAACTATTATACGATGTGATAAACGTCTGGGAGGCACAAAGGAGACTGTGAATCATTCTCGGGGAGAACAGTGGCAGATGATGTCCTCGTGGAAGTGGTTTGTGAAGGTTTGCGCTGGACTGTGGAGGGCACGGGAAGAAGCATGGGGACTGCTGCTGATAGCGCAAAGACACCTCCAGAGAAGGCCACCGAGAGGACGGGAGCCCAGGCGTCCGCTGTTGTTGGGACTAGCTACAGCAGAGCACACACCGGTTCAATAGGTTCGACCTTGATTGCATTCTTCGAGTTGCACTCTCCTTTTCTGAACACGAACTCAGTGCCCCTAAATGTCCCAATGAGTTGCTGTTGTCAGTTTGCTCCCATGTAGATGGAGCCTGAAAGAGCTCAATGCTCAAGGCAGACATTTTTTACTAGTGAAATCTACTGTTTGGTTTTAAGACTATGTTGGGGGATAGTTTTGTTTTTAGGTTTAAAGATCTCAAGGCAGTGGTTTCAGGAGTTCAGCCTCTGACTACAGAAAGTCTAGATTCCATAAGAACTAAAATTCTGTTCTACATATCCCCCCTTTTGACCTGGATTCTTCTTTAGAATATCTTTGGTGCAGTGTTCAGGAATGGAATCAGGAAGCATCCAGTTCTTCCTGGGGCATATTTTAAAGTCAGTGGTCAGTGATGGTCACAAGGAGTTTGTAGGAGGCTTTTTCAGAGCACCCAGTGCTGTGTCTGTTTACTCATAATTTCTGCAGGCTTCTTGGTTGCCAGGGGCAAGGTAAGCGGAAGCACTGGAGTAAGGTAACTCTCTGTTTTGTGCACAGGGAGAAGGAAAGTGCACTATTTGTTCCCAGATGGGAAGGAAATGGCTGAAGAATATGATGAAAAGACAAGTGAACTACTTGGTAAGTGACAGAGGCTCCCAACGGGTCCTTGGGGATAGTTGGGGCTGACCTACGGCCAGCTGGACACCCCTAGCCTGCAGCTTGAGGGAAGATCCCAGCGCCAAAGGTGGGAGCTAAGGGAGATGGAGGCTCTCCCTGTGACCTTGTTCCTGAGAATGATCTGAGGTCTGGGCAGGGTACCAGATGGAAAGTCACCAGAAGGAAGCCTGGAGTCGGTCCTTCCTGACCAGTAAGCCACCCCCACACCCAGCCATTGGAGAGTCTGAATAGTTTTTCTAAGGCGAGAATAGGAATATAGAGAAACAGATGGAGGGGGAGAGGTACCCAGAAACTTTACCACAGGGGAGGGGAACCTTTCTTTTTTTCCTGCCAGAGGCCATTTGGGTATTTGTAACACCATTCGGGGGCTGTACTGGTCAAACCTCTAACCAACTCACGCCTCCTGTGCTGGCCAGAAGTCCTGCTCTGTGGCGAGGTCTGTGATGTCGGCTGGTGTCAGTGAGGTCATGGGTCTCGCACACCTGAGGGCTGGCCGTTCCCCACTCCTGCTTTACCAACAGGTGGTCTTGGAGCCAAGCCTTGTAAACTGGCCTAAGAACAGGCTTCCACTGCCTTTTAAAAATGATTATTCTTCTTATGGGGCTTATTGGGGAACAGGCTGCAGTTCCGGGTCAGAAATGACTCACGGTGCAGTTCTTTGGTCAGGACAGCCTCTTTTCAGCCTGCCCCCAGCTAGCCTTCTCGCTGGCCCTGGCCCAGGCTCGGTCCCGCTCAGGCAAGTGTTACAAAGGTTGTAGTGCTGCCAATAACTACCCAGAGACACCAGCCCCTTGCCTGGGAGTGCTCACTCTATGGACCTCCTCTATGGACCCTGGAAACCCACCAAGCGCTCTCCTGCCCCGTTTCTTTGCTGCTGCGTCTCCCTGGTGGTCTCCCTGGTGGCTCTCCCTCTCTCCCCCTCTGCTGTCCGTCTCCTGGGTCTAAAGGATGCACTCCACTCTGTCTCCTCTTGGTGGTGGTGGTGAGGCTCCCCTCTCTGCCCTGGAATCGGCCTTCTTTTCACTTCTTATTGTCAGTCAGGTGAAGCAGCTAGCTCATCAGTCTTGCATTTGCAAGTCACGTGCACTTAGTCTCGCCCTGGTCCTCTCAGGGTTCCGTCACTGACTCTACTTCTCCCGGTACTTCTTGTTGCCATTCCTCCTCATGTTCCTGTGTTTTGAACCGGCACCAGCAGCTGCAAGGACCAGCAATCCCAGCATCAGACCTCGGCAAGGTGCCGGGGCTGTCCCAGTGGCAGCAGGCAACAGGGGGCTCCGTGACATAGGCCCGGTCTTGGACTGACCCCAGCAAGCTCCGGGACCGGGGCGGCGGGAAGCGTGTGTGACTACAGTGATTTTGCAGCATGGTCATTTCATTCCTGCAGTGCTTTCCCCTAAGAATAGGCCCAGGAGATGAGTTTCCAGCTCAGATTGCTGGAAGCAGCTTCATTTGTGTTCCCACGCAGCAGGCAGACTCCCCGCGCTGGGCGCCTGGCTGTTTGGCTCTGGCCTCAGGCTGTCAGTGGTGGGAGCCGGTCTCTTCATTAAGTCCCACCTGAAATGCTCAGACCAACGAAGGAATCGCGGGCTGGGTTACTCTCTTGTCATTATTCTTGCCTTTAATTTCTTCCTGGGCCTGATCGACAGGTCATATTGGTGAGGGAATTTCTTTTTCCCTCTTTCTGACAGCTCATAAATGTCTCGAACCGACAACACAGCATGTACTGGTTTGCATTCTCTTGGTTGCCCGCCGTGGCACGGGGGCCCCTGCGCATGTTCAGTCACAGAGTGAAGTGTTGATCCCTCCTTATTATGAGCTGCTTGGGCTCCAGTCCCAATTGGGTTAGGCTGGTGCTATTAAAAATCTTGATGTGTTTAGCATATGACACTGATTCGGGGGAAACCAATACAGTAGTAATATCCTCACAATGCATTGTAATTTATAGCACTCCCAGGGGGTGACAGCCGTGGAATGCCTAACAGGGGAGAACTTATGAAAGCAGAGGTCACGTGGGCTGACCACCACCCCACCACCGCCGCCGCCTGGGCTGAGAGCAGCCGCTGCTCCTCTCCCAGCCCCCAGCAGGCCCACTTCTCCTCACAGAGCAAATCAAGCGCAATCACGGCCAGGCCTGTAAAAACAAACAAACAAATAAAACCCAGGCCGCCCGGTCATGCTTGGACCGGAAAATAAAATGAAAAGCAAGGCCAAGTCCCTTCATCAGTAGTGTTCTGTGTGGGCCCCCACCCGCCGCATCAACCTGTCACTTCTCTTGGCAGGCAGGAGAGGCTGAACCCTCCAACCCCCCACGTTCTTACACAGACATGGAGGGTGTCCGGTGGAGGGCTGACCCTCCATTGCACTCAATACCAGTCTTTATTGAGCTCCACGCTGAGTGCTCAATGCCAAGGGTATTATTGAAGCATTCTCATTCAGGGCCTGTCGTCCCCATTTTGCAGCTGGGAACGACCAGAGATCCAAGCGGTTAAGCACCGTGCTTCAGAGTCAGAGCTAGCTGGCATCTGAGCGGGACTCACGCCAAGGTCTGTCCCCTTGCCAGTCCCTGCTTTGCTTCACGACAATCCATGCTAGTCCTCTCCTTCCTAAGCATTCCACTGCTCCGAGGGACTGGAGTGGGGCCGAGGAAGACCGCACCATGGGTCCTGCCTTTGGGCAGCCGAGCCCACCTGCAACCAGTGCCCCCACCCCTCAGGCATCCACCCCAGCTGCCCTAGCAGGACCCTCTTCATTGCTGATCTTGGAGTACAAAGCACCCAGGGCCAGAGACGGCTTTGGTCACAGCCTGCAAAGTGAAAAGAGAAAAGCTTGGGGTTTCTGGAAGTGTCTGGAGATAGTGGCCCTTCTTCCCAGATGACTGTACAAATGTGACCCCGGACTGACTGGGTTTCTAGTGGAGGGCCGGCCCGTGGCATGCGTCCATTGTGACAGTGTGATACCTGTCATTGCTGCTAATAAGCATGTGTCACGTTTTATTGCTCTCGGTGCTGCTCACCCCTGACCCCAGTGAGGGACAACTGAAGGGCCCCCTAACAAGGATGGGAACATTAAACCAGCCCAGAACACAGCCAGTCCAGAGGGGCAGAGGCTGGAGGGCAGCCCCACCTCCACCCCATGAGTACATTCGGATTACCGGCCTAATCTGCTTTGGTATTTGACCGCCAGCCTCCCAGCCCTGGCTGCATTTGGAGGGTATTGCGTACTTTCATCCCCAAGCACTTCACGGGCTTTATAAATGACCCACTCGATTCCCTTCAGCCTCCTCAGGGATGGGCCGTGGCAGCTGTTTAATAGCCGCATCGCAATGTTGCAGTGTTTTAGGGCAGAAAAGCAGCAGCCTGCATCCAGCCGGAGTTGCGGGGAGTGTTTCGGAGCGGGAATGTAATTATCCACGTTGGAAGTGGGCCAGGGCTGGGAGGCTTTGGGGAAAAAGGCCTGCAGGACCTCCACTTTGCAGCCCACCTGAAAGATGGGGGGCCTCCTTCCAGCCGCTGGGGACGTCAGCCTGCTTCCTGCTGACGGAGCACAAAGTTCCCAGGCGCTGGCTAGGTCAGATGGTCCCCAGCAGACCCTTCCCAGGTTCATTGACAGTCTCCTTCCCAAGGTCTGGCCAGGGCTTAGCTGGAAGGGAGAACGGCGTCCTGGGGAGCTGCCGCGAGCACACCCCAGTTTGGGTTTAACGTCTAATCAAATCAGAGTGACAGCAGGTGGAAGCAGTCCTTGCTGCCGCAGGAGCTGTCCTTGAGCTGAGGAACAAAGGCGGGGACAAGAAAGACAAGCTAAGGCAAAGGACGCGTCTGTGCCTTGGTGTTCTCCGCCACGTGTGCAGGAGACAGAGCAAGGGCGCCACCCAACTCATTTCTGGAATCTCATCCATGAAGAGGGTGGCAGGGAGACGATCTTCTGCGGCCCAACAAGGGATTTCTTTCCCAAAGGATTTTTCCTTTTTCTACAAGAAGGGAAGAGTCAGGGCCCCACGTTCCTGTGACCTGGGTGGTGTCTTAAGTCAGAAGTTGGAAACCAGTGGCTGACTGCCTTGGCATAGGGAAGGATTCTGTGGAAAAGCCAACACTCCTTGGCGTCCAAGTGTGGAGCAGACAGACAGCCTGCTGTCGGAATGCACACTCGAGCACACCCTGGTCTTAGCTTGTCTTCAGACTTGGATTTCAGAGAGATAATCACAGCGGCTTCCTTAAAGGCTAACGTTATTTAAGAAGTGGTGGTGGTGGTCAGGGGCTGTCCAGTTGATGTCCTTCTCCAGGAACTGGTCTCTCCTGACAACGTGTTCAAAGTATGTAAGATGAAGTTTCTCTATCTTTGCCTTTAAGGAACATTCTGGCTGTACTTCTTCCTAGAAACGGAACTACTTTTTAAAAACAACAGAAACTTTTCGGGATATGGCATACCCTTATTAAACACTCATCAAATAGAATTTATTAGTGGCTCACAATCTAGCCTTTGAGTTAGGAGGCCCGGACTCTGGCTGTAGAATCACTGAAGCTCAACTGGTCTTCATGCTCTGTCCCCTGAGAGGGGAGTCAGGGTCGCAGGAGGGTAGGCTGGGAAGAAATACTGTTTCTCATCTGCAGCATGCAGGTACCGGTTGGGATGCTGTGGTGGCAGTACTGTTACCTAGAATTGTCCCAGGGTCTTAAGGAGGGGGCATACTTGCCCTTGTACTAATTGGTCCCAAGAGCTGTGTAAGCCTGACACTGCCCTTCGAGGTGAATGGTCCCCACCTGGCGTTGGGAGGGGCCCCCCTTTTTGCCTGCACACAAGGCATTTTCTGCTCAGTCGGAGTGAGAATTTGGGAGTGACCTGTCCTCTAGGCTAGAAGGAGGAATATGGATCTTGTCACCAGAAACTGCCGCTCAGAGGGATTTGTCACTTATGTGTTTGCGGCAGGGACAGAGGCTCCGCCAAAGGCTTCCAGTTAAGCGGGCCTTCTGTGGCCTGGTGTGGGTAGGGGCTGCGTCACAGTCCACTTGCTTAAGAGAGCAGAAGGATTTGTGAAGACGAAAACCAAGTTGCCAATAAAGCATATTTCCCAGTCTTCCTTATTAATTATCATTATGAACGTGGAAATGTGTTTCTTGGGAGAGTGTTTGGCCCTAAGACGTAATAAAACCACACTGCAGAAGGCAGCAGCTTATAAACGCCCACATTCAAGGGGAAATCCTAATTTTACAGCCTCCTTGTGTGTTCGGCCGGTGTGCCCCACTGACGATAGTGTGAGGGTTGGGCACAGCTGTTCAGCAGGTCTAAGGAGAGCCAGCCATCAGCACTGTGCCCCCATCCCAAAGGAGCCCAGGAACAGCCATAGCTGAAGCCCAATTCCACGCCCCTTCGGAGTTGTTGAGCTGCTTCTCTTGGCTCTGAGGGAGAGGAGGCGGCGGTAGAGGCGGCGGCGGCAGCAGCAGTGGGCCTGTTGCTCTGACTGGCTGCCCTGGGGAGGCTGGGCAGCAGCCACAAAGATCCTGGATGCTGCAGGCAGGGGCAGTGAAGCATGGGTGGGGGGAGGCACCCCCAGGGGGCACCCCCTGCAGCGATGGTGGACTGGCCCACGACAGACAGCAGTCATCACAGCATGGTGGATTTGGGCAGGGATTTTTCAGGTAATGGCCACCAAACTTGTTTCTTGATTTGTAATTTCCATAATGTATGTACCTTACTTCAAAATTAAAAAAAAAAAAGTCTTAGGCCAACAGTTGACCCATAAAACAGAGCAATGGAGGAGTATCTGTAATGCTGAAAGGCTGTTTCCTGTTACTAGAAAGGATGTGTTAAAGTGGAATGTGCGCGGGGAAACTGGTTAGCTGTAGTGCTCTGGCTGCACCGAAGCCAGGCGTGTCTGAGATGAGTGCGGTAAACCTGCCCCACAGGGTCATCCTCTCCACTCGTTTCCCTTGTACATTTTTAAGGCATGTGGGGGTGGGGTGGGGGATCCATCTGTGTCTACTTTTTGCATCCCCCATCTCCCCCACTACTTTTCCTACCCTCTATCTTCCCCGGCCTTGAAGCCACTCCAGGCCCTTTCACGCCTGGCTCTCCCAGAGCGCTGTTCCCATGCCCGTAGGCCAGCATCATGCTCTGTACCACACAGCTTGTCCAAGATTGAAATGTTCCATGGTGATTTCAGAGGCTGGGAAGCCCTGCCCCCCGCTGGAGGTCTGCCGCTCCCACTTGCATCCTGTTCTCGTTCCCTGGTGAGCAGAAACAAGCAGGGCCCTGTCTTCCCCATAATCCCACTTCCTTCTCTTCCCAGTGAGAAAGTGGCGTGTGAAAAGTACCCTGGGAGCCTTGGGCCAGTGGCAGATTGAGGTGGGTGATCCGGTGCCTCCGGGAACAGGGAGCCTGGGGCCAGAACTCATCAAGGAAAGCAATGCCAGTGTACGTATTTAACCAGGTGCTGAGGTGTGGGGGACAGGCTGAGGGTGGGCTCTGGGTCTGGGGGAAGAGGCCCCATGTTAACCTCTTCGTGTGCAGTGTGCCCACCTGGGCACAGTGCTTTGGGAATTTTTGCGGAAGAAGTGCCATTCGGTGGAGGCCTGGTCATCTGGGGCGAGCGCTCCAGCCCACAGTGCCACTGCAGTAGCAGCCCATGGGAGCAGTGGGGCCTCTGGGCCCTGTGGGGCCACTGGGTGCAGCTTTGAGGAGGGCCAGAATCGGCCTTTGCTTTGCCTTCTGCAGCCCATCTTCATGCGCAAGGACACCAAGCTGAGTTTCCAGTGGCGGATTCGAAACCTCCCCTACCCTAAGGATGTTTACAGTGTCTGTGTGGACCAGAAGGAGCGCTGCCTGGTTGTCAGAACCACCAACAAAAAGTAGGTAGCGTGCCGGGGCCCTCCGCTTGGGTAGGAGCAGGCTGAGGGTGGAGTTGGTCTGGGGTCAGGTCTTAGACATCTCCCTACCCCAAGGGATAGAGAAGCCTCCTCCCTCCAGCTGAGGCAGGGAAGAAGAGAGGGAAGGGGAGACGGCAGGCAGGCAGGCAGGCAGAACTGAAACGGAGGCTCCTCTCCTTTCACTCGGTAGCTCCGACAGGGTGAGGGTCTGTCACTCACTGAAATGAGGGTCTGGCGCAGTATCTGCCACCTACTGGGGCCCCTAGTGTCTGTTCAGGACTCAGGGAGGGAGGGAGGAGGGACATAGGCAGATGAGTGTGGTCTTAGCAGTTCTGTCAGGCTATTGTGGCTTTGACATCGTAGCTAGAGCCCGTCCGTGGGGAGGTGGCCTGGTGTGACCACTCTCAGAGCTGGCAGACAGCACTCCTGTCTTCTCTCCCTGTATTGATTGACAAGGAGCAGATCCTTTGGCCTCTTGGAAGTCTGACAGTGCATCTCCAAAGGGGTACTCAGCTTCCCTCCACCCCTCTCTCCGTGGTCCTCTAGCAGGCACCACAGGAGAGGCAGAATGAGGGGCTGAGGGGCCAGGCGGTGGCTGAGAAGGGTGATCCTGGCTGGATGCTTTCTGAGCTGATCACCCTGGAATTGCAGTGACTCATTTGGGTTTCCAGCCCTCAGACTGGTCGCAGGGAAAGGCAGAGCCTCGTTTGAGGCCCGAGTTGGACAGCCCTGGACAGATGGGTCTTGTCCTGGGCTGGGGGCTCAGCACAGGGCCGCCTCCATGGAGAAGAGTTGGGACTCTGAGCCCCCGGGAGCCTTTGTGCCCCTATCCACAGCTAGGTGCTAAGCCTAGCCCAGAGTTACCCTCATTCTGCTGTTGGTTTAAACACAGTCCGGAAAGCTGGCGCCTTGCCCTGTCTGCTAAGCTCCAACCTCCCTTTCCCATATCCCTTCAGGGCCATGGCTCCCAAGCTCCCCACTTGAAGCCTGGGGCCCGGCCCGGCCCTCTCTCCTGACTGCCACACCCCATCACTTTGTCAGGGATAGGAGGGCAGGGGAAGGGGGTAGAGATGAATGAATTAATTTCAGCGTTATTGCTGTACATGCAGCCGGCAGCCCCTGCAGTGGGCCTTGTCTATAAATATAAAGTCATAATAATAAGGGTTTGCGTTTAGAAAGCACTTTGAAGCCCTCAGATAAAAGGCAGTTTATTCCCGTTATTGTTCTCATCATTAACAGGAGTCAGTGCCGAAAGTGGAATTTAGCAATTTCAGACAACAGAGAAATTGCCTTTAGGAAAACAAACTCCGTGCTTCAGCAAGCATTCCCTGGCGGAAGAGACCATGGGTCCAGACTAGGAACAAAAGTGCTTCTGATAGCACTTGAATCTGCAGCCCAGCAGTTTGTGAAGCTGGCTGCTGCCTCCCTTTTGTCCCCCAGAGGTCACTGTCGAATACAGATATCAGGCTGAAATGTGATTACCAGGAAGCGAGGAGAGAGGCTCGCTAGCTCACCAAAAAATTCATCTGCAGGCCAATCCTCTGGGTCTCATCTCCTGCTCGTATCTAGCCATAGGTGGCGCTGTTGGCCTAGCGCTCCACGCTAGAGGCCCACCTTGGTGCCTTGGCCCAGCGGGGTGGGAGTGGTACCCTGGGGGGCAGGGAAGGACCTGGAGGCCCCACTGAGGTCTAGTCCAGTATGCCAGACCAGCCCTGCTCAGGTCCCTGTGCTGCTCCCTCCCGAACCTTCCACTTGGTTCTCCGACTTGACCCCCACGCAGGAAACAGAACTCAATGGCGGGGCCTCTGAGCAGGGCTAAGGTTTTCAAGATACTTAAAAAAAAAAAAAACGTTGTCTGATCTTCACTCTTTCCAGAAGGGGGCAGGGTGTGTATCCATGAAGGCAGTGTGATGGACTGGCCCACTGAAGGGAAGGTCAGGGACAGTGGCTCCCAGTGTCTAGGCGTGCACAGTTCTCACCAGACAGGGGCAGATCATATCGGTTGTCTGACCTCTTTCCGACCTAGACGCTCCCAGTCTTAGTATTCTAGAACGTGGTTACCTACCAAAGCAAGGATTCCTTTGGCATTCTCTGCTCCCCGAAGAACTAGTTGGCCCCTTTTCATGACGGAATGGCTTCTAGTGTATTTCGCCCTTGGTCTCGGGTGAGGGGTGAACCAAGGAAAGGAGTGCGTCTCCAGGCCCCAGGGTGGCACTGCCCCTGATAAGAGCACTTGTGCAGAAAGAATGTTCTTAGCTTCCGCCCAGAAGTTGGCCTCTGGAAGTAGAGTGAGCCAGAGTGCTGCAGTGGGAGGATGCGGGCGGGGCGGAAGCTGCCTCAGTAGCTGTATTCACTCGGGCAAGGTCTCGGCTGCCACAGCATCCTCCAGCCCTCCTCGCCTGTGGTTTGGGGATGTGGGTGAAAGGGTCTCTGTACACACACCTGATGCAGGCCCGCCACAGTTCTTGGAATCTAAGTGTGAGGGGAACCTGGCTGATATCATGGTGCTGGTGCTACCACTGTGGGCGAAATTAATAGGCATGGCTAGAAAAGGATTCTGTGGTCACGTCAGTTTAGAAAGCTCTGGATGACACCAATTTCTCTGCCGGACTTCTGTCAGCCTGTAGTTGGTGGGTGATAGTTCACTAGGAGGGGTTTGGCCAGTCTTGATGGCCAAAGAAAAAGCAAGATCCACTTGCTGGTTTTCTTAGGGCCCGAGTGACTGGAGATTCCTGGCCGGCTCTGTCTGTGCAGGCTGTTTGGTGTGAAGGATTCCCCCCTGGAGGGGTTTGGGGCATGCCCCCGGGGCTGACTAGCCACAGCAGCCTGGCATCTGCTTTCAGCCTCTTGTCCAAGCTGGCCTCTTGTGCCCTTTCTCAGCTCCCTGAAGAGGAAGGACCAGGAGCTGGGCTGAGGGTGGGGAGGAGATTTTGTCGGAAGAGCGTGACGGGATACAGGACGTCATCTCTGAAGTCACGAGAATGCACCTGCTTGGCACAGGCACTAGCGAGGGGCAGGGTTGCTCTGTCCTGAGCTTTTTCCTAGTGTCTTACATCTAGTGTAGCTTCTTTGTTTGCGGGGAATCTGGAAGAAGAAATGGCAGCAAAGAAGTTAAGTAGCCAGCCTAGGGTCCTGGGTCAGGGCTAGGCTTTGGTTCTTCGTCATCCTGACCTCCCCAGCCCACAGCTCAAGGCCTGGGACCAGTCGATGCCCTAGCACTGCCTAAGGTGGTGAGCTCCAGTGTTCCCAGAAGCGCAGTCCAGTCCTCCTCCAGCAACCCCCCAGCCAGAGACAGCAGCAGAAAGGGCAGGGCCTGCTGTTGCCCTGAAGAGGAGTGCCTTGAGCTCCGGTGAGCACTGCCTGCCAGGGAACCTTTGAGAAGTTCCTTAACCTCAGCCAGTAAACTCAATCCCCCAGAATTGACTCTTGAAGCTGCGCTCTGGGCCTGCCTGCTCTCTGGCTGCCTGAAAGGTGGCAGGAGCTCAAGGAAGGTGGCAAGCCATGCCCTCCAGTTTCCTTTGAGCTTGTCACTGGTTGGCATGGAGGCTAAGCCCCAGGAGTCTTTTGCCAGGCCCCCTGCCCCAGCCTGGGGATTGTGGCTTGCCAGTACCCCTCTGAGGTGACCCAGGTGGACCTGTCCCGTACTGGCACACAGACCAAGCTGGGGGAGGCTGTTCCCATGCTCTGCACGGCCAGGCTTTTCGTGGCCCCATTTCTTCCGTTGGGTCTCTGGGCTGCTGCTCTGGGCCTACCTTTTTGTGTGTATTTGTGGGTAAGATGTTAACACTTCCTAACAAGCCTTTGTGTTCACCTAATCTCTGCTGTTTAACCTTTGACTCCCCCCCTATTATCAGTGTCTGCCACCTTTGCTGGCCGCTGGGGCCCCAGGAAGAGCCTTCAGCTGGCCGGCTCAGAGGCAAAGCACCCCTCCCTGGCCTGCTCGATGGATCACCTGTCCCTGGGGCAGGGCTTTGGAAAAGAAAGCAACCATGCGGTGCCATTAGGATCCTCATGCCCCCACCCCCCATCCTTTTGAACTGTCAGCCTTTAAGTAAACATTCTTTTCTTGCTGTGGGTCCCCTGCACCTTGGCGGGGGGCTAGGGAGCCTGGGAGGAAGGGGCCCTGTGAGCTGGCTGAGCTGGGGGATTTGAGCAGGGAGAGCAGGCGGAAGTGCAGCATTGATGTCAGCTCTCCGAGGCCCCAGGGCATCGGGGCTTTTGAAGTGGACTTGGAGGACTAGCCCCTCTGAAGTGTTAGAAGCCACAGCTTCTCCAAGCCCCTAGCTTGTGTTTGTTTGTACCTGTCTGTGGCTCGTCCCTACCCAGCCCACACAACACACAGAGATGCTATGCACGGGCACTAGGCCACAGGGCAGGCTGCAGCAAGACTTCCACCAAGGACAATAGCCAGTGGCTGATGGTCAGAGTTGAGGCAGCTGGCCTTTGTGCCGTGGGTTGCAAGCACTGGGCTAGAAGCAAGGACCTTATCCTGAAGCACTCACAATTGGCTGTGTGAAACCAGGCAAGACGGACAGGTCACCTTCAAGCCGAAGGTTCCTCTTGGGTAAAAGGGCTCACGTTTCCTGCCAAACAAAGCGCAGCTACCCACATTAGGGGCCAGGCGTTGCTCTCTGAGAATTAAGAGGGCTCATTAATCTCCAGACTGGCATTGGTAGCAGAAAGGGCCTGTGTTTGGGGTGAGTTACAGGGCCAGTAGAGGGGCCCTGAGCCTGCTTCCGGGGTGAGGCATGTGGTCTGTTCTCTGAGAGACTGCCTGGACGGGTCTTTCTTTCAAGCCAACACATTGAGGCAGGCTAGTGAGGACCTCTGTGGGAGACCCACATGAAAGGGTAATTGGGTTCCCAACTTTAGGATACAGCCCTGGATGTTCTTACTCTGTCCCTGGTCAGAACAGGTGTCTCTGTCTTCTGTGTGGTGGTGTCCCCATGAGGTTTGAGGTACGGAGGCAGCCCAGTCTGTCTGTGCTGTTTGTATGTTCCAGGAGGTCTGTCTGTCTGTCCTCAAGTCTCCGCCCTCGAGGCAGAGTCATTCTTGCCCCAATCTGATGAAGGAATATGGTCTGCACTTTACTTGCCAAAGGCATTCCATCCTTTTCCCCAAGGCTGCTAAGCTCTAATATACTGGTGTTCTAGCTGGTGCCCCTTCTCTTTGGCCGTGGAAGCTTGTAGAAGCTTGGCAGCCCGTGGTCTAATGCCTAGCTGTTAGGGTCACTTGCTGTATGTCTCCATGGACTTTTGGTGTTCCCACAGATACTACAAGAGGTTCTCCGTTCCTGACTTAGACAGATACCAGCTGCCTCTGGAAGATTCCTCCCTGAGCTTTGCTCATGCCAACTGCACCCTGATCATCTCTGTAAGAGTCCCCACCCCCATCTTGGCCAGTGCATCAGGGGCATTGTCCTTTTCTCCTGCCCACTTCCCATCCCCTGGGACCCACCCATTCTGGTTCCAACCCCTTGAGTTAGCTTGCTAGAGAACAGGTGTCCCTAATTCAGGATGGGAGTGAGGGGCCTGACTACACATCAAAGTGGGAAGAGGACAGAGGGTGATGGGAATGAGCTGGAAATCAGAGGATCTGAGGTCTTGTTCAAGGTCTGCTCTCATCCAGCCACACAATCTTGACATCACTCAAATTTAGGGCCTCCATTTCATTCATCTTCAAATGACTGAACAAGAAGGGTCCTAGAGAAGAAAGAGAGAGCGTGCATGTGTGCGTACGAGAAAAGGTTTAGTGGCTGAATTATGCCTATTACTTCCTGGCTCCACCTGCAGTACCAGAAGCCAAAAGAGATCCTGGCAGCTGAGTCGGAGCTACAGAAAGAGCTGAAGAAGGTAAAGACAGCCCACAACAGTGACGGAGACTGTAAGACCCAGTAGCTGGCCGCTGACTGTGTAAGATGTGTTTGTCAGGCTGAAAGTCTGAGGTTTGGGCCTGCCCGGTAGGAGCTATCCATCTCCCTGGGGCACCCATTGTCCCATGCCAGTCTTGCTTCCGGAGTAAAGTCATTCTGAATTACTGCTAGCTAGCAGACTAATCTCCTGTCCAGATCTGCGTGTGGCTCCCCCCCACTCCCCTTCCCCCAAAAAGGGTGCGGGTGATGAACTTTTTCCTTCTGGGCCCTAGCAGGGACCTTTTGCCATAAAGTCTCTGCATAATGAGGTGTGGCCTTCAGTGGAGAGAAGGATGGGAGCCCTGCCCCAGCAGGCTATAGGCGGAGTATGCCCCCAGCTTCTGAGGAAGGCTGGGTCAGAAGGGACTCTGGCAGAAGTGGACCACAACTTCTGCCAGATACCGCTGTAGGCAAGACAGACGTGTTTAGAATGCAGAACCCTTAGAAACAGGCCCAGGATGAAAAGCTAGACTCCAGGTGCTCGCAGGAGGACTTGAGGGCTGAGTGGGCTGGGCCGACTGGACAAAGGTTGAAACCGAGAGCAGCTTAGCCTCCAGGCTCTTCCGTTTTTCTCTGTATACCACCCCTACTCCACCACCGTTAGAGGCAAGTCTTCCAAAGGAGAAAGACCTTTGTTCTTTGGATCAGCAGACAGCTCCCCGAGTTTGAGTCCATCATTCCAATCCCTGGGCTGCCTAGGCAGTCCCTGACCAGATCTGCAAATAGTCGAGGTTTATTTCTATACTGAAGATGGAAACAAGCCTGTCTGAACAGCTGGCCGGAGGCAGCTCTGGCTCAGCACGCATACACGCACACACAATTGCTGGGCTTCCTTTGTCCTGTCTTGGTTTCAAAGCAAAAACCAAGCCCTTACATCCCAGGAGTGTGCCCGAGCCTCAAGGGTGGGGACCTGGGGGTACCTGCAGCTAGGATGTTGGCTCACAAGAGCCTCAGCCCTTCTGAAAGGGGAAGAGACAGAAAGGCCCCACTGGCAGCCTGGGGTGCCTTTCCTCATCAGTAGGTGGTGCTGGCTCTTTGAGGGTGGACCTCGTGAGGCCGGGTCTTTGTTCTGGCCCAGCTGAGTGGCATGCTCTCGACGGCATCCCTTTCTCTCTTGTCTGGGTGGCCCACAAGTCCCCGAACACGGTGGTCATAGGTACAAGGCCTTATCTGCCCTTCCAGGTGGAGAGATTCCTGAGTAGCGTGGCCCCACAGGCTGGGGTGCCCCAACTATCGCGGGTTTTGAAAGTCCAAGACGTGGAGGTTGTAAGACAGTGCAGCATAGAGGTGCTTGGTGGTGAGGCGCAGGCAGTACACAGGGCTGCTGAGGGGGGTCGATGTCAGCGGAAAGGCCTGCAAAGGCAGGCAGGTTAGTGGGGAGAGCTAGCCCAGCAGGAAGGGCAGAACCCAGGGTCCCCAGCCTGGGTGCCATCCCAGCCTGCCCAGGCCCCCTCCAGATGTATCACCCACTCCCAGGAGGCAGCCTGTGGTAAGGATGGAGCCTGTCATCGTGAGACGGGACGGTGGGTGGGACACTTACATGCAGACAGCCCCTTTGGCGCCGGTCCCACAGCCGTACTACGCCATAGTAGGAGGAGCCTGTGGCCAGCAGGTGGTTCCCATCTGTCTGCAAGCAGTACAGGGTGCTGTCATGGGGCTCCTCCCACTCCATGACACATTTCCTGTCCAGGAGAAGATGGGGGTGTTTAGAGGTACCCAACACTTCCACTCAGCATCCCCAGGGGACTGAGGGCAGGTGAGGCATCATCCTGGGCTGGGTGAACATCCCAGTAGGGAAAGCTCTTTATGCCCACCTCCGGGTAGGAGCCAGGGCCTGACTGGTAGCCAGCCCCCCTGCTCGGGGCCCTCAGCATACTATGAGTCAGGAGGGGCCAGCAAGGTGGGCTTGGCTGCAGGGTGCCTCAGGAAGGCTAAGCCCCTGATGTGGAGTCTGTGTCCTCACCCTTAGGCACACCCCCCCCTCCCCGAGGGCTGACGCAGGCAAGGAGACCCACCCAGGGACCACTGCCCTTTTCTTTCTGGCCAGCACTCACCGGACACTGGAACGGAGGTCCCAGTAGCGAACATAGGTGTCATAGCCACATGACAGGAGGGTAGAAGGGGTCTCATACATGACATCCAGCACCCCAGCCCCTGGGGGAAAGTCACTGCCCAGGTGTGTCATCAGCTGCCCACTGGGGAGAGAGGTGGGGCAGAGGCTATGTCACCTTGGCCCTTCAGAGTATAGAAACACAGCCTTCTTTCCTGAGCTAGAATTCCAGTCCCTTCAGAAGGGGGCTGAGGGACAGGCCCCTGACTCTGGCCCTCATACTGCCACAAGGCCTTGCCTCTCCCCAGTTGAAGGCCACAGTTGGGCAGCACAGCCCCTCCGTCACACCTGCACACTGCCTGCCTGCCACTGCCACTCCTTCCCAGAGCCATGAATGGGCCTGCTGAAGGGGTCAGGCCCTCATGCGTGCGCGCACACACGCTCAAACATGGTTACTTTAGACTACTTGATTCTGTAGGTCATGCCGTTCTGAGCTGCCCAAGTCCAATGCCTTAATTCCCGCCTGTAATCTGGGGCTCAAACCTCACTGGGGATAAAGACCACACAAAGGAAGAAGGGGAGTCCCAGGCCATGTTAAAACAAGTCAACACCTTTGTGTCCAGAGAGAGAAGTTGCTGAGAAAGCAGCTTAGCAGGCTGGATCCTGGTGTTCCTGGCCTCTGGCCCCCAGCCCGGGGCTCGCATGCTCTGTGATCACAGCCCCCAACCTGCAGGGCTCCAGCCTGCGCCCGGTGGCCGAGAGCAGATTACTGAGGAGAACAATCTCTTTGTGACTATGTGATTCCCTCCGTGACCGCGGCAGTGGGCATACCCTCGTCCCAATGCCAGACCCCTAGCAACCATGTAGGGGGGCCTCTTGGCCCTAGCAACTACCCCTCAACATCAAGTGCACCCGCTAATCCCTGCCCCTAGGACAGGCAGAGTGGTGAGTTTCTGTAGAAAGACTGGAAGAATGAAGGAGAAGGTGACCACCCCACCCCCTGAGCTTCCTCCAAGAAATTCTGGGCTCTCTTCCATGACGAGGAGAAACCAGGCCACAGACATGTCACAGGGAAGCCCAGGTAAGAGGCCTGGGTGGGACCGGGTCTCAGGGTCCCACCTTCCCAGCTTTGGCCGAAGCAGCATTTCAGCAAAGACAGCCGGCACCTG